ATTCATAAAAAGGGGGATAAGACTGCGGTTGAAAACTATAGGGGAATCGCCATTCAATCTGTCATTCCTAAATTACTTGAGAAATTAGTTACGGGTATAATTGCACCCATTGTTAACCCATTACTAAATAATGAGCAACACGGCTTTAGGGCTGATCGCTCTACGACCACCAAGCTTTCGTTTATTCTTTCGTTTATGGAAAGAGGGTTTTAAGTAGATGCGATATATACAGACTTCAGCAAAGCTTTTGATCGCATTGATCACATTATCTTAGAGCATAAGCTAAGACAATTTGGTTTTAGGAATCCACTATTGGGATGGTTAAAATCTTACATCACTGAAAGGACCCAATTTGTCAAGTTCCAGGGTGTTAAGTCGAAACCTATCCTCTGTCTACTCTGGAGTTCCCCAAGAAAGTCATTTAGACCCTATTCTTTTCAATATCTTCATTTCTGACCTCTCTCAGTGTTTGGCGGGTGTTCCGCATCTGATTTATGCTGATGATCTGAAAATGTATCATATTGTAAAGGATATTTCTGACACTAATTATCTCCAATTAAAGTTAGATCATCTAAATTCTTGGTGCGAGACTAATAAATTACATCTTAACGTTAAAAAATGTTATGTTATTAGTTTTTCACGTAAGCGTTCAAACCTCTTTCAAGAATATTCACTTCAAAACTCCACTTTAGAACGCGTTGACCATATTACTGATCTAGGTATTATTATGGGCAGTAAACTCAATTTCAATTTTTATTATGATTCTATTGTTTCTAAAGCAAGCAAAATTCTAGGTTTCATTAAGAGGAGAGCCAGAGAATTCAATAATATTGAATCGCTCTATTGCTCCCTTGTTCGTTCTGTTCTTGAATATGGTAATATTATTTGGGATCCGGCATTTTCTGTACACAGAAATTTGAGTCGGTTCAAAAACAATTTTTATTATTTGCTTTGAGAAGCCAATATAACCCCAATGACTTCCACAATATTCCTTCATATAAAATTAGACTTCAATCCCTGAATATGTTGAGTCTGGAGTCACGCCGGTCTTTGTTGTCTTCTTGTTTTACCTATGATATCCTAACAGGAAAAGTAGACGTGGACTTCATTAGAGACAGAAATATTATCAACAACGACGTCAGACCTACCAGACATACTAAATTCTTAAAAGAATATACACATAGGACTGAATATGCTAAAAATGAATCTATAAATAGATGTTGTACTGTATTCAATCGTTTTAGTCATCTTTTTTCACCAGCAGTTACAAAATACACCTTCAAAAAAAAAAAAAATTCATAATTCACTACCGACTTAGTACAATATCAAATGTTAATTATATTACCTAATCGTAAAATTATTAAATCGTATAAATATTAAATACTTATTCAGCATAAATGATAACATAATAAAATTTTTTCTTTTTATTTATTATTTTTTTTTATGTATCATATTACATTACTGTAATAAATTCATTTAATGTTTTGTTCGTATAATTCAATTTAGTTTATAAGTATGTATAATATAAGTATATTTTTGTTAATTTTGTAAACTATGTAAATTTTTGTAATTATGTAGCATCTTCTTTGGTGCAAATAAAGAAATAAAAATGTAAGGAGAGATTTTCAAATATTTGAAATAACTGGTATTTTATAGAATAATAAAAATTTTGTTTCAGGTTCAGAAACATTTAACAAAAGTAAAATTTCTACACGATATTTTGTAAGCACCCCTTGAAACATAAGAACAAAGCGATCTAATGGTTTTAAAAGTTCTTAAAATATTTTTTGTTTAGTTAAGTATGTGAAAAAAACAAGTAAAGTGAATAAATTAAAAAATAATTTATCGGATAAAAAATTTGGGATCTGTGTAAATAGCCGAATTGGATTGTTTAGTTTTGTTTTAAAGTTTAAGTGCTATAATGATCCATGTCAAATTTTTTTGTAAGACATGGGTCGTTATAGCACTCCAAAATTTCTTGAAAAATTTATATGAAAATTTGATCCATACGCCAACGATTTTGGATATGTATCAAAATGCATCCCAAATCGAATTTTAAGTAAAGGTAGATCAAAATGAAATCGGCGTATATATGAAAATAAATGAGGTAGCGAAAATGTCATTACGTATACTGAAATATCATCGCCGAAAACCTATGAAAGTAGTCTTAAGTCAGAAATTTCGAAAGTGGTATATGGATGATTTTATTTAGTGTGCAGAAAATTTCCAATATCATTATAATAACAAAAACTTATGTATTAAGTTAAGAATGAACAATATGTAATGGCCTTGGCTGCGTAGTAGGCTTATTCAATTTGTTAGCAAAATCTGTATATACTTTATTCGATATGATTTTACTGACACTTAATATACAACATAAAATGTATGAACATTGGAAAAACACTTTTTTTCGTTTCCTTTATTGTCATGTTTTTATCGTAATTTCTTTGTATACATTATTTCTTTTTATAGTAAATGTGGCTACAATTTGTGTATTGAATGTAAGATTTGATCTTAAATTTTCTAATACCAGAGATATTGTAAAAAAAAAGATTTATTACCCAAACACAATTAGTAATATAAATTTTACAGATAATAGGAGATGTGTAAGCCCCTCTTTTCGCCAGCGTGTACTCTGTCTCATTTCCTTCTAGTCCCAAATGGCCCGGAACTGAATGACCTTAGTGATGATGACGATATCATCGGTACAAATCTGGAGACCAATATTTTGACTAAAATTTTCATCAAAGAATCCATCCATCACCAGTTTCCACATCAACAAAGATGGAGCTCCACTCTATGGACATCCCCTAGCCATGCGCATCCACTTCCCTTTCTACAAGGCCCCCGGCGTTTAGGAGAACGACGTGAGACTAAATGACTTGGAAACTATGTCCTTGTATGAAGACCATCCTACCCACTCGTCAGGACTCGGATGCGCATCCGTACACCAATTCCTTGGTACACCAATGAAGCAATTCGATTCAAAAGTCTCGGCCTTAGTCCGTCCAAGCTCCTCCACAACCTTTTCAATACCACAGTTCTCGCTAAGGCCATCGGCAGTTTCTTCTCCAGGTCTCTTCTTTTTCTTATGTAAAAAAAATAAATAAGATATTTTAGGGTTAAAAAATATGTATAAAAAATTTTTTAAATTTTAATTATTTTTAGTTGGCGTTGCTTTTTTTCGAATTACAATCTCAACTTTTATCAATAAAATTTTAATGCCAGCAACTTTTTGATTTATAATCATGGCAAAAAAATTATTTTAATTTCCCATATTTATAATTTTATTATATTAGATTTTTGAATACAAATATTTATTGATGACATATCATATAAAAAAGTAATTATGAAAAGTGTGAAATCATATTTATTCTACAATGAATTTCTTTCTCTTTCTAGTAACCCTATCATAGTGGCTTGTGAGAGTTTTCGTAATTCTCATACTAGTTTTGTTAATAAAAAAAAAGTTAAGCTCCCATTAAAAGAGTTTTAAAAACTCTTTTAATGGGAGCTTAACTCTTATTACAAAAATTAATAACTCTAATGGCGCTCTTTTGTTCTTATAACGATCTCACAAGGGTTTTAGTAGTCTACAAGACTGCAATTATAAGAATAATATTCTTCAAGAATTCTCAAGAGCAACTTCATATTTCATAAAAACAGTTTTTTTTCTCTAAAAATATTAAATCAAATAATCATATCAGCATTTTTACTTTTTATATTTTTTCCGTGTGAAAATCATGCGATGTAAAAATGCTTAATTAACAAAATATTTTTTATTATATTTTATTATATTTCGAATTTAATCAGTCTTTAACTTTCAAAGGGAATATTTGTTAATAAAATAGATTTTTAATAAAGTTATGGTGGTCAAATTAAATTGAATAAAATTATTTGTGTGAAATTGAATTATAATTGAAATTTTATGATGAATTTTATGATAATTATAAATGAACTTAATAATAAATAAAAACTTAATATAAAATTTGTAATAAAACCAGAGAGTCTAATGTGTTTTGATTTCAATATTTTTTATACAACTTTCTTTTTTTTACTCTTAAAAATATTCAAGCACAAAACTTGTATTCGCATCACGTACGATGATAACTGTACTAGTTTTTTTATTTCTGGTGGTGGAGCTTATGCTCTATCTCCTGAAAAGTACGCTGATGCGATCAGCAACTTCGCAGCTTTTTCCCCAGTATTAATGTGGGCCCTGTCGCGTATGAGGTCCCTTGTCATGCACTCTGAAAATAAAATAAGGTTAAAATTTTTCCTTATTAGAACGCAGACCATTGGTAGATCCTGCCCATAACCCCATACTACTTGTACATCTCTTATCGACAGTTCTCCATTTGTATACCCAAAGTTCCTGTATCATACGCCTAAATGTATCTTGATGATTCTTTCCAGAACAGCCCAAGCCGCTCTGGCGTGGTGGACATTTACCTTGGCGACCCTGTGCCTTCGTTCCTCTTTTCTTCGGCTGACTATCAGGGTGATCTTCATCTGCCATCGGGACGTTATATCCTGGAAACAGTTCCTTAAGACTCAGGAAGGTTAGCTCCAAGTCTTTCGCCATCTACTCTTTCAAAGAGGTGCCCCTTTCCGCTTGTCCCGGGCCCAGTTGGGGAGGTGCACCGCATGGGACATTACCATATTCCTTCTATCAACTGTCTTCCTTTTTCTTGAAGTGTTAGAGAATCGTGTGCATGCCCGTCCCCCTGAGCCGATGGGGTTGCGTTTCTACTAGATCTCTTCCTTTCTTCAGCTAGCTTCCCGGAGCAGGGAAATTTCAGATGAATTCCAGATGAATTTCCCTGCTCTAGGAAACGCGGGTAATATCTGATATTGACCCCGCTGAGTCCTCGCCTCCTCGGATCATCCAAGCCCATAGGTAAATGAAACATATTTAAATAATTAATATGATTAAATATATTATTTTTGCCTCATGTATTTGATATTTACTAATCAATTCTTTGTTTTTTTGTTTGTAGGAAAAGTGTATAACGGACAACGTTTGACTGTATTTAATCCAGCAAGTTTATTAAAGAGTAACTTATTTATTAAAAATGCTAAAGTTCATGTTAAAATAGGAAAACTAGAACACCATCTGCGAAAACATCACGAATTTGATAAACACAAAAAGAATAATATAAATAATGTACCAAAATTAAAATTTTCGCAGCAAGCTAATACTAGTTTAACATTATGGGTGTTCCGCTTCAAAGGAACTAGTTTTAGATATAGTGTAAGTTTATTCTGTAGCAATAAAAACCAGTTTTTAATTATCAAATATTCTATTAAAAAATGTCGGAGGTCCATACAAACAATCATATAAAAGTTTCATTTTGAATTAAAATTAAGAATTAGGGTATATATGATAAACATTATTTAAAAATTGGTATTAAGATAAGCAATACAGATAAGTACATATGTTGCTAATTCGAAAAAAAGTTTTATCCACGAAAAAAATTTACATAGGAATTGCAAAGTTTTCAAATACATCATTTGCATAAAATTTGAGTTCATTCTAAACGGCAGTTGCGCTGCTTTTAGTGAAATCAGATTTTAGTTACAAATTATAATACGTTATAACGATGACCTTTTCAAATTGAGGCAAAAAAAAAAATTCATATTCATTTTGAGTCACCTCACGCCACAGGAAAATGGATTATTTCCAAAACTACTGTATCTCTCTGAGACATGTTTACCTTGTATTTATTAAGAAAAACCTGATTGGAATGTTATTGCTTAAAAACATAAATTTGCATGCAATAACGGTTGTTACACAAACACTCTACATTTCACGCTTTGAGTTTTCGGGAAAAATGTGTTTCTCCTTGATAAAGAAACTTAAGTAATTAAGTTTTAGAGAATTGTATATGTGTCTATCTATTAACAGCCGTGTTACCTCAAATTCAGTGCAATTAGTTTTCACAAATCTATATCTGAGTTAACTTAAGATGGAATTCATATATACATATATTCGATTTTACTTGAAGACTTGAAGGGATGATTTAATAAATTATTGGAATGTATGAGGTTTCAACCGATTTCTTACTACCTTATTTTCTTTATTTAAAATATAACATCTGTCTAACAACAAACGAAGTCACTTAACTTCTTGATTAATTCAGTTATGTGTAAGTTGACTTTAATTACGACCCTTATTTAACATACATTTTTGCTCATATATAAAAAACAACTCAACTAGAAATCTTAAAATTTAACATTTCAGATCTGATTTTTCAAACAATGAACAAGCACATTTTTCAAAAAATTTTGGATTCCAATTCGGCCTCAATAAAAATATATTAAAGAAAATGTGGCTGAGATTTCCTTGGGATTAAACGTTTCGGAAATTACAGTTGACCTTCTTGTAAATCCAATGGTATTATTGTATCCTTCCAATGATTCAATTTTCCTCGTTTGGAGTACTACTACTGGAATACTCAACACAATAAAATAAATCGGCACTCAGTGAAAACATATTTTCATTCGTTTCATAAATTAAAAATGTCAAAATATCAATTAAACCTCAAATTTTTCAAAAATGTGTTTGCTGTTACAACCTACATTATTAACTTTGCTTAGTTTTTTGATAGCTTCAAATGTCATGTTTTGAAAACCTTGATGGCAACGATTTTTGTCTAGCAAATTTAGTTGTTGGCAAGCCATAATATCATTTCGGCGAACATTCGAGTAAGGTATTCATTTCGAGTTCATATTCGCTTCGCGAATCATAATAACACTATAAATCATAATTATTTAAATGTTTAAAAATCTAAATTTGTATATATTTTAACATCACCATTGATCCAATCGATGAGAGTTTTATCTGGTGAAATTATAGTGGAATTAACATTTAACTTAGTATGTACAGTGAATCATAGAATCATTCAATATTGGAAGTAATAAGTAAAAATATTTCAGTCAGTATAAATGAACTTGATTATACCCTGCAACTTGACAATCTAAGTATAAAAAATTGGTTTTGAAATATCAAAAACTTTTGTTGTTTTATGCCAATTACTCGAACCTGCCAAACAATTCTATAGAAACTTCACGGATAAGTCTGACTTGTAATTGCACATGAATGCCATTTTTCACGAGTCGTTCTTTATTTTGTTTCCATATATTTAAAATTTGCTTTTGGATTTGCGTGGCAGGTACCCGAACCTGTCAAGTTATTCAACAAAAACCTTAGGGATATATGTGACTTGTAATTGTACACATGACTGCCAAGTTTCATTAATCAAACTTCATTATTTTTCCAAATATTTAAAATTAGCTTTTAAAGTTGTATGGCCGCTACCCGAACCAGTACAGCCATTTCATTAAAATTTTCAAAATATATGGAGAACAAAATAGGGCACTCTAAAATCTCTATTAGTTTTTGAAATATTTAACCGAACCCGAATCAGTTCAATTAAGAACGGGTCCCCTCTTGGGACAAAAGGAACAACTTGTGAAAGTTTAGTGACGATTGCATTATTCGCTTTGAGTTATTATGAGACAGCGAAAATGTTTAAATCAACGCAGAATTTTGCGTTGTACAAGAATACGTTACATTTACATGTTCATAGACTATTAGTCAAAATTTACTGTTCTTTCATATACATACATGTGTTTTTTTTAATATTTACTTAAATATGGAAAATACCTTTTTCTCTAAAACAATTAATCGCCTCAAAATAAAAACCTCAATAATTTAATATTCGATATTCAATTTTAATATTTTAAATGTAATCATATAAATGTACAAAATTGTTGTTAAATTACAAAGCTGCAGCAGGTAATAATATTTCAAATTATAATTGTGATAATCAATATAGTTGCAATCAATATAAATATCAATATAAATTTTACTTTATCCAAATAACATCCGTTTACATCCACGTTTTGATAAAGTAGAAAGTTTGTAGAAAAACATTTTGCTCTAGGTACTTAATTAATAAAATAAACTGCAGCTGAATTCGCAATGATAAAATAATTGATACATAAAAGTGACCAATATCACATAAAAGATTCGGGACGATTATTAATTCCCACACGGCCATTCCTGCAGTTCTTCAGCCTCTGAAGATGTAGTATTTGCATATTCTTCATATTCACCGCAGCATGGTTTCATTTTTTCTGCTCCATTATCAGTAATATTAGGTCCTTCGGGGTTTCCTACTTTTTCCACTTTGTATCTATCAAATTCTTTTATAGCCACAACGCGATATTGTCCCATAAATTTGGGGCGTCCTGTTCCAAATTGAACTTTCTCTTTAGCTACCTTATTTCCGGTTTTGTATTTTTGAGCTGGTTTTCTTGTCTTATTAAAATTTTTCTGTTTTCTTCTTGTATGGACACAATATCTTTTCTAACTAGTTCTCTAATTTGATCACGTTTTTCTTCGAAATTTTTAATTAGTTCCTCTTCAATAATTTCAATTATCTTCAAATCGTTTCCAGTTTTCATTCTACATCCTTTAAGTACTTGAAAAGGTGTTGTTTTGATTAGGTGGAGTTCATTATTTGCTGCACAGGCTTGACAAAATTATTGTAAGGCAAGAAATGACAAAAACATAGAATTGGCTCTTTCAATTTGCCCGTTTCCTCTTGGTACTCCAACGGTTATATAATGGAATTTAATATCATGGTCTTTACAAAACTCGTGAAATTTGTGTGAAACAAATGCTCCACCTTTATCTCCGATATAATTCTGCTGGGATAACCAAACGTCTCTGCGATGATTTCAAGTTTTGTATGACTTCATCACTCTTTAAAGTTTTGGGAAAAAGCCATATAAATTTAGAAAATGGGTCCATTACAGAAAAAATTTTTTTGTAATGTTTTTTAGTGACTTGCATAAGGCCAAGATGGTCAATATGAAAAGTTTCAAGCGGTTGCTCTCCTTTAGGTATCGGGTTTAATAGGCATTCATTTTTACCAACTTTTCTTTCGGCGAGTATGCATCGAATACAATTAGAAATGTGCTTTGAAATTTTTTTTCGTAAATCTGGAATAAAAAAGTCTTTTTCTATGATTTCTTGCATTTTTTTATGGTGAAAATGACCTTTTTTGTGAACTTTCGAAATTATCTGATCTTGCATTTTTTTGTGGAACGAAAAATAAGATATTATTATTTATGTTTTTAGAAAGTATATTTTCTTTTAATATAAAATCCTTATACGGCTTGTGTTTTACTATATCAATTATCGGCATCAAATTGTCATCTTGGTGTTGCGCTTCTTCAAGTTTTTTAAGAAAATCGTTTTGTTGAAATATACAAAATATTTGAGGATTTCTGCTCAAGGCGTCTACGTGACGCATTTTACTAACACCTCGGTGCTCAATCTCATAATTAAATTCTTCCAACATTAGTGCCCAGCGTTCTACTCTAGTTGACAAATCTTTTTTCTTCATGGCACATGTAAAGGCTTTGCAGTCTGTTACAATTTTGAAACGTTGACCTAGTAGATAAACTCGAAATTTCTTCAATGATTCGATAATGGCTAATATTTCCAATTCATATGAACTGTAATTCCTTTCGGCATCATTGGTCTTCTTACTAAAATAATATACTGGGTGTAAAAGCCCATCCTCAGAATCTTTTTGGAGCAAAACTGATGCATAACCACATTGCGACGCATCTGTATGAAGTTCTGTGTAAGCTCCATAATCGAAAATTTTTAAAGAAGGTTTTTGTGTTAAAGCTTGTTTTAAATCATTTATGGCAGCTAATTCAACTTCGCCAATTCTAAAATGAGAAGTCCTTTTTAATAAATCACTTAAGGGTTTTACTCTTATAGAAAAATTGGGGATAAATTTTCTAAAATAATTAGCTAGACCCAAAAAGCTTTACAATTGCTTAGTAGTTGTAGGTATTGGGAAATTCAGAACAGCTTTTGTTTTCAATCTAGACAGTGATATAGTTCCTTTTGTTATTTGATACCCGAGATACTCAATTTGATTTTGAAGAATTCAGCACTTCTTCCATTTAATTTTCAGGCCATTATTAGCAGCAACTTCCCTCATCGATTGTATTGGATGGAATTACCAAATCATCAATGTAAATTATAAGATATCCCTGTGCGATTAAATTTCTAAAAAAAAATTTATATATTTTTGAAAAACTCTCGGAGAATTACACAGTCCGAACGAACTCTGGTAAATTGTCCACAGTGGACAATGAATGACGTATATTTTCTGCTCGATTCATCTATTTCGACATGGGAAAACCCGTTTTCGAGGTCCAAAGCGGTAAAGAAATTAGCTCTTTGCAACTTGTCAATCTGTTCCTCAATATTTGGTAAAGGATACCTATCCTTAATAATTTTTTTATTAATGCCTCTATAATCCACACACATCCTGTAAGAACCTTTTTTTTTCTTCACTAGCACAACTTGACTTCCATAATCCGACGCACTCTCAGTTATTATGCCATCATTTAACCATTGTTTAATCTAATCTTCTATGACTTGTTGCTCGCTAGGAGAAAATCTCCTGGGTGGACGATATACTGGTTCGTCATCTATTGTAACAATCTTCATATACACCTTAGATTTTTTCAGTGGTTCTGGAACATAATTATTTATTAAAGCAATTACCTGGTCAGACTCATTTCTTTTTAAGTGAGTTAAATCTGGAAGATTATCTGCTGCATTAATTTCATCAAGATTAAGTGAAGCTAAGAAACATGCTGCTTCTTCAATGTTATCGGTACTACTTCTTTCAGCATTTTCCATTTTATCATCTTGTCTGTGAACATTCTTGATTATTTTTATTTTTCCATGAACAATATTTACCGCAGCCAGTTTTAACAGATTCATCCCAATAATCATATCAGTCTTTATACAACTATCACTTATAAAATGAACTTCAATATCTTCATAGACGTCGTTATCGATAGTCACATTAACTTTGCACGAACCTTTTGTAATTACATCGGTTCCCAAGCCAGCTATTATTATTGGATTGTTCCTAAAATTATAACGGGGGTAATAAATTTTAAACAACTGTATTTTAGGACACAAATATCACTGCCAGTATCAATTAAGCAATCGAAATAAATATTATTTAATTTTGCTTTAATACACATATTAGTTTTTAGATTGTTATTCGAAATAAGATTTTGTTGCGCTACACTAACGGAATTTTTTAATGAATCAGTGACTACCTCTTTGCAATCAGGCTATTCTTATGGCTTCTAATTTATTGCACCTAAAGCATTTAGAGCTCAAATTCTTTTGCGGGCAGTTATAGAATTCATGATCCCTAGATCCGCAATTAAATCAATACTTTGCATTTTTTTCTTAATAGCTCTCGGTTTTTTGTCTTAAACTACGAGTATTTCTTATTTCAGATGGGTTATTTTTGGCGACGTCAGTTTTCTTCAGTTTTTCATATATAAATAGTTTATCTTTTCACTATATAAATAGCTCACTAATATTTTTACAACCAAATAATACCATTTTATTGTTCACAGAATCTTTAATTCCATCAATAACATAGCTGATAACTGAGAGTTCATCTATTTCGAGCATAGTTTCATGATATATCGAGCATAGAATATAAATATTCATGATATGATTCATTAGCTTGCTTTTTCCTTTCCCGTAACATGGTGTGTACATCAGCACTCGTAGTTTTTGATTTAAATTCTTTTAGCAGAGTGTTTTTCAGACTGTTATAATTAAAAGGTTTAGCTTCAAAATCGATATAAAGTCTTGCGGCCCCGGAAAGTAAACGTTTATAAAATACAAATTTCTGCAATTCATTCCATCGAAATACAGTTGCATGTTGTCCGTCCGTCCGTCTGTCCGTCCGTCCGTCCGTCCGTCCGTCTGTCTGTCCATCCGTC